GGCTCATGCTTTTCCTTCCCCATCATATCGGGGAAACTAACAGCAGGGGTTTTCTTCAGGATCGCGAAGTCGACGTACCACGCACACACCCACCAGATCTGGCTCCACACGCGACTGCGCTTGCTATTTCACCGAATTGAAGAGCGAAGTGTGAGAGAGAGGTGGCGCCAGTGGTGGTGGTGGTGGCGGCGGCGGCGGTGACGACTGTGGAGTGGCGGCGGCGGGGATAGAGGGAAGGGAGAGAAAATGGATTGAGAAAGAGAGGTGAGAGAATGAATTAATTAGAGTTTGAAAATTGATTTAAATAAAAATTAATTTAAAATTATTAATTAAAACCTGATTTATGTATTATTAAAGATGATTTTGAATTTATGAAAATTGTATTTTAAAAACATGTGTGGGTGTAATTTCCTCAAATTATAACTAGAAACATAAATAGCTCGGTTCTCACTTTTCCTCCCCAAAACAAGACAAATATTAACAGAAACCGAATTTAATTCTGGCCTGGGTCGAGTGGTTTAGATAAAAATGAACTACCCCAAATTTAGGGTTTAAATACATCAGGATAAGTAAAACAGATAGCCAAATTCTCAGTAATAACTCCAAGCACTAATCTAAAAATTTCAAATGCAAAATTAACTATAAACAAAGAAAGCAACTTAAATTAATAATAAATATATTAAAGAACAATTATTTCAATTTTACATATAATAAGATTAAACTATATTGAAAAATAATTATATATTAGTTTATTAATAATCACAAATTGGCGAACTCTTATTCATTTACCATATTTACAGATTTAGATGTCTTCTACTGAATATCTAGATTCTACACAGTTCAAATTTCATCAAACCCACCCCACCCCACCCCACCCCCCGGCCCCACCAACCAGCACCACCTCAAGTTTAATTTACACGACAAACTAAGAATCATCAGCTAATCAAACCTAATATGTACAGGAGAACCATGTAATGAATAAATTACTCTGTTATCAAAGATGCATACCAAGGGCCATGAACACTAACAGAAACCTTGGCCACTGCCACCAATACTGAGGCTGCAGCCACCACTTCATCAAGGAGCAATGCCGCCCCCACTTTCTGCAATGCTGTTTCCGCCAGTTCTCTTCCATGTTTGCCAGTTCCCCCAAGTACGACCCCTCTGGTAGCCAAATATATTGCACGAGAAACCATGTTAAAAACAGCATCCTCTCGTTCCAGATTTTTGACCAACATTCTTGCCATAATTTCCTCCATCGACTCGAGCTTCATGCCAATTGACTTCTCCACAGCTTCACCAAGTAATGCAATGATATCTGGGATACCGGCATCCTTGTTAGAGTCAAGACATGCTGAAAGTCTTTTGATGCAGCTAGAAAGAAGGCTTTCCATGTCTGCTTGGCTGGTTACCATTCGCCGGCTCACTAGAGCCTGTCGCAAGATTAGAATGCTGCAATCACAGCGGATGCATTAGCTCAAGGACAATGGAGATGACAATGTTGGACGGTGTGAACGCCTAATAATATTCTGCATTCAGATCTTTGTACTGGTTGGCCCAAGTATCCTATTGCTATATAAAGGAAACTTTAGGGTCCATGTGAGTGGGGGCAGAGGGTGGGGAGCGTTTTTCTTGGTTGAGATTTCCATTTTAGAACCACTATTCAGCTGTACATTTATAGGTGTTTCTTTTTTTTTTTCTTTTCCCTCTGTCGATCAATACTCTTTGGATTGATATTAGTGCTTAATCCCCTACGGACAGGGTGATATGGGAACAATCACCCTCTAATTCCCTAAGGGATGTGCATTACACTACTGGATGGGGTGTGGGGGGGGGGGGGGGGTCAATGTACCTTGTCGCAATCACAATGATCTTCTGAACCCGAGACTGAACAGCTCTTAACCTGGAGATGTTAAGCTTCATAGTCTCAGGAAGCTCATCCTCTTCCAAACCATGTACCTTGTTTACCAACTTTAACAGGCCCAACCTCACCAATATATCAATCTCCTCTCCGTTGCATTCTGAAGTGTGGTCAATGTTCTCTGTAAACAAGATGCCGTGTAAATAGTAACAGGATAATACAACCAAATTCAACAACATTAACCTTACAAACAAGAAATAATAAACTTCCACCAGTTCGAAGAGTGGTGGATGGAAGGAAACTCCGAGACGAATTCTCTTTTCTGTTTATCAACAAGGAGAGAGAACTTTTATGTTCATTCCATTCCTGATCTTTATTACCATTCATAGATGAAAGCCAATTTGCCGTTAAGGGTAGAGAGGTGGAGGCATTGGAAGGGTGACCATAATGCTTAGTGAAAGCTTTTCCAAGAAACTCTAAAGCACCAGGCCCCTTCAAGAAAGGCTCCAAAAATCTTATACGGGCCACACTTATTTCTTGTTTGAGTTCCTGTCACAAGGCAAAGGTGTCAAACTTTGATTGTGAAGGAATACATAGAATACGGCAAAAGACTATGGTCAAAATAGACACAGCATGGACAATTTTAGTACAACTACAATCTCATAATAAATTTCTGCATAGATCATTTCCTCCCAGTCTGGCAACCAATAATTGGTCCTGGCAGGACAGTTTTAACTAAAACCACACCTTCACTAAATTTACTCTAATAGGAATTCCTCATGAAGCTTTCACCATATTAGGCACCCACAAGTGCCATACTAAATTGAGGTTCATAAGCATTGCCACAATAGAGACGAATATAAAATGAACAAGGCAACTCATTCATGAGAGATTAGCACTGGCACTATCCTTGCACTAAGCTGCCATATGACCCTATAAAGCAGTGGAACCGAGCAGTTGCAAAGTGATCTTTCTACATTCAATGGAATGAAAAACCAAGTAAAGAAAGCAGATAAAAATACCTGTATCTGTTCTAGAACAAAACGCAAGCCCTTAATGAATGCAATGACATGTGAATTCTCTGACCCATCACTGGCCCAACATACCTCAGCCAACTCTTTCAAAAATTTCTGGTGTTTTTCCTTCAATTCATCCTCACAAGCAGGAGCAGAGAGCTTCTGCAAAGTGACCAATGCAAATTCCAGAATCTTTCCCAGGTAATCAATGTCCACTTTGCCTGAATTCAACACCTAAGGACAAATTCAAGAGCAATGAACAGCAGATCAGAATGGACATAGCAGTAGCCAGGCAGGAAAAGAAGAAACAGAAGTACAATTACAGTAAATGGTCACCTCAGTCAGAATGTCCAGGTCAATAGCTTCAATAACTTCTTGTCTCCAACTCTGAGGAGCCATTGCAGAAATTTCATTGCTTACCTCCCTCGTCAACTCAACAAGACGGCTGTAGTTAGACTTGTCCTTTTTCACGGACTCCATGACACCGTCCCAATAAGCCTTCTTCATAGTCTCTCTAACCTTTGCCTGCACATTAATTGAACAATCAAAAATCAGTGAATACTCAGCTTTCTTGCAAAATGGAAACTGATATATATCTTGGTAGAGTAAGGAAAAAAATTGTAAATTGATACTAGGAAAACCATGCACTAACCATGATGTTGTCCTGGCCTTCATCAGCAGAATTAGAAGTATCAACAAACGCGAGGTTCACCCCATGGACACATTCATTCACAATCCTCACATTCTCCAAGTCCAACTTCTCACTAGAATATTGGGGTGGGATACTGCTAGAAGATGGGGAACTAACTTCCTTGGGATTAACTTCATTCCTAAATAAAGACCGCACTACAGGACTTCGCGTCTGAGTATTTTCAGCCAAATCATTTGTTTCGTCCGAGCTACCAAGGGAAGGTGGGGAAGCAGTATTCGGGGATAAAATTAGTGTAGATAGTGGGCTGATTGGTCTTCCATTCTCCCTTGCCTCAAAGAATTTCATTCGCGTGTCAGAAAGCGCACTTTCCATACGTTCGATACCAGCATCTCCACTGAGGTGTATAACTTTCTCCCTTAAAAGCTTCTGATCTTCATTGACCTGCATTAGTACTCTTAGAATAATGGATTTCATTTTACAGAATGTCTAAATGAAAAAATTAGGGTTAAATACCCCAATTGCACTGAAGTTTTTCAAATGTTTCCCAATTGTCATTGAACTTTAAAAGTTCTTCGAGTTGCCATTGAACTTCCCCAAATGTTCCCAATTGCCATTGAACATTAAAGGTACTATTAAAGAACTTTTAATAGTTCTCCACGTTGCCATTGAACTTCCCCAAATATTTGGGTAAGGTCAGTGGCAACTCAAAGAACTTTTAAAGTTCAATGGTGGCAACTCGAAGACATTTTAAAGTTCAATGGCAAATAGGAAAATATTTGGAAAGTTCAACGGTAACTGGGATTCAACCTGGGAAAATTAGGAATGCACCAAAACAAACCAATCATTTTAATTCAAAAGAAAGAAAATTTTATTACTTCAGCTAGATTATTTTGTTTTGGACATCATCTGGACAAAGAAAAAGGAGCTGGGAGGAAACCTGTTTCTGTATAGCCTTCATATCATGGGTGAGAAAACCACAATCTCCATCAGGAGTCATCTTGCAGGTCTGAATCATGGAGAGTTCTAGCCGACAAGCAGCCTTGATCAGATCTTCCTCTAACGACCTAGCATCTTTAACCTTCCACACCACAAAGCTATTCAAAAAGGAACACCATGCCGAATCAAATTCTCCAAGTTGAGACCTGAAAGTCCTACGCCCACCCAGTACACGGTTAGACTGCCCGTCAGAAACTTGTATAGGTCCATTTAGTGTTATCTTAATCAGCATCTCCAACTCTTTCACAAATTTCTCAGCCGATTTTGCCAAAGCAATCTCACGCTCCCCTTGACCACTGATAACAGCATCTGGATGTCCCAGGATCATGTAAGCACAAAGTACAACTCTCACTTGGTACCTTGATAATTTAACAGGAGTTTTGGCTGCTTGCCTAATGGCTGGAGTCTTTTTTCCCTCTCTACTTGAGACATTTTTCCTAGGTGTTTCCCTCCTTTTTGGGGTGGCTACTCGCTTGAGAAGGTGATCAATATCATCCAAACTAGAAGTATTAGGAGCAGATCCAGCCATCCGTGACAAATTAAAGCGATTTTCTACTCGGTCAAGTAAAGCTTTTGTTGTACGAAGAGTAGCAGTTGACTGGATAAGAAGTGCAAACTGCTCAAATGGCATTCCCTTCACCGATCCCTCATTAATATTCAGCTGACTATAAGCTCTGGCAAGATGTAATGTAGTTTTTTTAGCCATCACAAACTTCCTCCAGCACCTGCAGAGTACAATGTTATCCAAGGAATGAGGTAAAAAAAGGGTTCATCGTGCATGATGATATACATAACTACTTCGTGATTGTTAACAAATTTTTAAGAGACTTGGCATATATTTGGCTCACGGTTATAGACTTTTCACTTTATGAACAGTCGAGCCACATTTCGAGGGATCCACGTACTACCAACTTATCTACGACTCATTTCTATCTATACATAATTTTAAACCGTTTATAAACACTTCCCAAACATGCTTTTAGTCTTCACTAGACTCGGGAATCCCATTCATAATAATTGATATTAAACTACATATCCTGCATGTACCTTGCTAATTTTCTGGAAAGGATGTCAGCCTCCTGCTCTTGCGTGATATTCCAATCATAACAAACAAAATTATGCGGTCTTCCTCTCTGCCTTAAATATTCTGCTCTCTGTCTCCTTGCCTATTTCACCATAAAATCCAATTGTAAAAATGACAAAGACAAGAACGCCAAGTAAATCTTAACCAACATGGGACTACGAGAATACCCTTTGTAGTCTGTCTTCTAGCTTGTTCTTCATTTCCTTCCTCTCAATCTCTCGCTGGTGAGAAATGGACCTTGCTACCTTCCTCACCTGCAAGACCCTGGCACGTACCCTCCTCTTCTCTGCTTCCAGCAATGCCAGTCGCTTCTTCTCGGCAGCTGCACGCTTTTGGCTTATTGCAGTGCACACTCGTTCCTTATACTTGCTCTCCCTGGCCATCCTTCGAAGCAATGATTGAGATGTTCTCTCCTTTAGTATGGCCCTCCTTTGCTTATAAGCCTTGAGGATAAGCATTCTATTGGCCTCTGCCTGCTGAACCCGCATTTCAACCTTTATACCTAACTCAGCGCGTTCCTTTCTGAAGCGCATTTCTGCCTCTAACTTAGCAGCTTGCCGCAATTCATCAAGCTTAGCAAGGCGCATCTGTGCCTTTGTCAGAATGCTCAACCTGTCGATTCAAAGAATTGAATAAGTATGACCACACGATTGTTCATATTTGAAGTTCCTACAGCGAGTAAATATATAAGCCACCTTTCCAGGGCAGGGCAGGGCAGTATATCAAGGTGCATATTATCCTGGGGACAGACATCACATTAATGAAAATGATGAAAACATAAAGTACTTGTTAATTAAATTTTCATCCATATCCTCGTAAAAGGGAATACTTTTATTGATGGGGAGAAGATCTTCTGGGTTTAGAGCTAATTGGAGTAACCATACCACATTTACTTGACCATGGTGTAACTATATCACATTTATTAACCAAATAAAACAGAGAAATTAACTCCGGATTAAGAGAAAGTCAAAGACAGATGTTATTATGCCAAACTTCTTACACGGTCAAACAGAATTCTACCTTTTACAAAATAGGGTTTCTTCTGCTGAGGCCATGGGCCGTAGCATAAAAGAGTTATTCAGACTAACAAAATACATTATACTCAAAATGTTTACATCTAATGAAACATTCTTGACAAAGAAAGTCATCAAACAATGACCACGACGCTAAACAGATTCCAACTGATAAAGGATGAGATAGATTAGTTCGTGAGCAATATGAAATCCCAACTAGTTCATAGGAATGTTATCCAGTGCATTAGCTGCTTTCAGCAATATCAATTGGCTTAAATTGAAATCAAGAGAACAAAAGTTTACCTTTTCTCTTCAGCAGCTTGAAGCTTAGCCTCAAGGCGGTGTCCAAGATCATCTTCATGAGATGAACATCGCGAGGGGCTTCTAGGCTTTGGCCTAGCCTTGCTGGACAAATTCTCATAAAATTTCTGTAATTTTATTAAATTTAAATGAAATCAGTCGTGTTAAAGTATGTCAGATTATGATAAATATATAAACAAGTTGACAATATTGAAGTATAAAATACTACCACTCCCACTCCCACCCCACCCAAATAAATAAATAAAAATGGGACAACATATTATTAGAACAAAATACAAGAACTTTCACCTTGACAAGAATACTGAAATTAAATTTTGGTAAATTTAGGAAAAAAAAAAAAGGAAAAGGAAAAAAAAAGACTTGCAAATTAAACATTAAAAATAAAATAAAAAGTAGCGTAATTCAAGTCAAAAAGTACGGCAAAGTGGAAAATAATTCGCCTACCCAACTCTTACCTAACTCAGGGTTGAAGGAATCCAACCCTTAATAGAAACTCAATTAGTTTTCTTCGTGTATGAGAGAAATAAATAGAAAGTCAAAACGTTGAAAAAGAATTGGGAGAAACGAAAAACGTTCCAAGATCAAGAAACATCAAGAAAAGTTTTTTCCTGATAATTTCATAAACTTCTATAGTTGTACCATAAAAAAATTGGCATAAGAGTGAGAGACAGAGTAATTTTTAATTCCTGTTATGAATATTATTAAAAAAAAACTCTAAAAACTCAGTATTTCCATAATTATCACGAAATGAAACGATGAAAAAAAGCTAGTATCACAGTAGTGATTGTTAATGAATGTTAAGATAAAACTACTTCTGATCAAAGGCTTAAACTCAAAATACGGAGAAAAAGAAAAAGAGACCTGACGGCGAAGATCGGCGTCCCGAAGCCTGGCTTCGATTTCTTCAACGGTAGACGGTGGCGGCGTCTTGGACTCGGAGAGCCTTCGTCGGAGCCACGGCGGCATAGTCGGTGGCGAGCACGACATAGCGCCATCGCTCGCCGGGAACTCCATCGCCACCGCTGACCTCCCCCTCTCCGGAGACTCCATCATTTAACAATATTTGACACCTTAATCAGATGAGTATTCACTATTTTTTATACACAAAAAAGAAAAAGTTTGACAGTACAGACAGTAATCGAAATCAATTCTTTACAGGTATTTGTGTCGATATATATATATCTGAATTTTTATAGAGAGGGGGATATAGGATAGAGAGATTGAGGGAATTTGGGGAAGGTTGCAACAATTGAAATGCGCGATTCTGAGGTGAGTTTTATAGCTTTTTGCGTTTAATGTTATTTTGTTTTTGTAATGAGAAAAGAGTACTCAACATAAGAAGCGTGATGTTGGGAAGGCGTGCGTGCTGTGTAAATGTAAACAGAATTGTGCGTTTGACTATCATTATTTTTCATTAAAAATGTCATTTTTTTTAGGATTGGATGTGGTCCGATTCGATTCTGAATGTGGTCCGATTCGATTCTGAAAAGATTTGAATCGAACTAGAATCTTCGGGTATTTAATAAAGGGAATCGTCGATGCAAATATAATTATGAAATCGTTCGGATTCAACTCTGTACCATAATTAAAAATTTTAACAGATTTCTAATGGTCAACGATCGATGATCGTAGTTGGAGATCACGACTTCGATGGGCATTGAGAGGGGAAGTTAGACTCGGCAGTTGGCGATTTTGATTTGGGTTTCCAATTTATCAAATGATTTGAGGTCATTAACTCATTGGTTATTGAACGAAAGTGTGAAATTGGAAATAGAAGGATAAAATCTTAAAAGGATCTAGATTTTGGGCTAAAAATGAAATAAATAATATGACCAAAAAATTAAATCAAAAAATTGAATTTAGAAATTAGATTGGGTTGGGTTGGGTTGGGTTGGCCTGGACTTGACTTGATTTGAGATTTAGGACATTAATCACTAAATTAGTTAATTTGTTTATAAAAATTTAAACAAATTAATTAATTCAATATAAAAAATTATTTAAATTCGACTCTTCGGTTTTGGGTCTAGAACAGAGAACCGAGCCGAACCCGTCGGTTCTCGATTCAGATACCCGTTCGGATATTTAACTTATAAAGAACGGTTCGATTCGGTTCGATCCGGTTTGGTTCTGGAGTTTTGTCCAACCCTAATTTTTTCACATTAATTTTTATTTTTAAAATGTTTGATTGACAATATTTTTTATAAAAAAATATTATTTTTGATCATGTGATCATATTTTCCTCAAAAATAAGGAAAATATTTTCTTTAGAAATGAGTGAATTTTATTTTCAGATAATTCTCTCTCTCTCTCTCTTTCTTCTATCCCCTCTCTCATCTACCTATAATTAAAAATAGACAATTATAATATTTTTTAGTTAAAAAAACTAAATCAATCAAACACAATTAAGCTCCTGTTTGAGCTACATTAAAATTTTCATTTACATTCTTCTACTCATTTTCAACCACACATTCTTCAATAAAATAATATTTTTGACTACATCAATAATTTTTCATTCTTTTTCAATCAAACATTTTTTATCAATCTATTATTCCAAAATACATTCTTTCAAAATAATGTGGCTCCACACTCTAATATTTTATATACAAATAAGTTTTGGACAATTGAATTGTCTAGAGTTTAATTTCTTTCCATACAAATTTTATGTTGACAATCAAACGCACCCTTAATAATTTACTGAAAATTAAATTTTTAATTTAAGTTAAAGTTAATAATTAATTTTAACTGTATATTTTACAAGATTCATAAATTTTCAATCACACATTTCATTAATTTTTATATTTACTAGAAATTAGAATTTTATATCGTATCAAAATGCTCTTCAAATATTAGATATTCTCTATTTTAAAGAGTCAATCCTTAAAATTATGCTACAAGATATTCTTCAAATTAATTTTTTTAAAATAGAGAGTAAGTTTCACTCTTTAAATTTGAAGAGTTGAACTCACTATACTTAAATGTATTTAAAGTATTTTAATTTTCAATGAAAGAAAAATAATATAATAATTTGAAAGGAATCTAATGAAAATAAAAGAAGAATTAGTCTAAATGTACCGAATGGTGTCCCCGCTCTCACAATAAGCGCGGGCTCCATGTATATTTAAAAATTCTGGCTTGTGATCCCCACCTCCTAATGTGAGTGAGGTGTAAAAGATTCGGTGCAAAAATTAGATACATGTAGCATAACTCATAAAAGAAAGTGAAAAACAACTCATTTTAACTACACATTTTATAAGATCTGCAACTTTTCAACTACACATTTCATCATTTTTTATTAAAATCAATAAAAAATTTTATTTTAATCTCTACCGAACATGAGCTAAGTGTTAAATATAAAGAGTCCGTTGAAGTAGTTACTCTCTAAATTTATAGATACTTTATAAATTGCAAAATAGAACATCTTAGAGATGTTCTTAATAAATTTTGTTCCAAGTTGATGAAAGTAAATGTGCACGTGAATTTCTATTGGCTAAATGGACCAATCAAATATTCCCCCTAACTTCATTTTTAATTTAATAGGAAAAATTGTGATAGTTACTCTTTAATGCGATGAAACCTACTGCTATTACATAAAGAATTCTATGGTTGCAAATTCCATTGACTAATTATTTAGTCGATAAGTTACTTTGAATAAAAAAGTTAAGAACAATTCATTATTTTCACTTCGGAAGAAATGATTTGCTTATCTTTTTTACGACTCATTGAGTATTAAAAATAATTGATTGTGAAACTGTATGCCGTTAAAGAGGAATTGAAGAACGGAGGCTTCTTCTTCCTTAAGAGAAAAAGGAGTCTCATTCGATAATCTTTTTGTGTGGCAAAATCATATCAAAATTGACAATACAGAGAAGCAAAAATTAAAACGTACACTAAACTAGGAAAAAATGTTTGGCAAATAATTGATATGGTGCTTTCTCCTTTTCTCTTAGTGCTCATTTCAATTATTAATGGTGGATGAAAAGGCAAGCCATCATATTAAATTAAAGTTGATTTTATCTCAAATAAATGGAGATTTATTGAATCTGCTAGATGTAATCAGTATTCCTACTTTATTTGAGAGAGGGGAAGAGGAGATTAATTTTTTTTTTCTTTTTTCGTTTCCCTCAAACCTAGAACTTAAACTCATGTTTCTTCTAGAATTGGGAAATTTGCAATTATGGTTTGTATACAGGGACGTAGTCAGGATTTCAATCTTACGGGGGCGAAAATAAGGGGGGTGGGCTCCCCTGCTAGTCCGTCCCCAAAATTTTTTTAATTAAGAAGATTGAAAACGACAATTTTGAGTACTAAAATAGGCAAGTTAGATTGACTGACCAAAAAAACAATCAGTTTGTCGATACAAAAATAATATGCCTATTTATGTGTCTAACGCTATATAAATTGAAAACGTGAACTTTAGATGGACATAAAAAAAGACAAAAAGTAAACTGTCTATCTATATAACAGATGGTAGAGATAGCTTGGACATCTGAAATTAGTCTCTCCTTGTCCTCATCACTTCAAAATCGTCAATAAGAGAATTTAATGNCATAAAAAAAACAAAAAGTAAACCGTCTATCTATATAACAGATGGCAGAGATGGCTTGGATATCTGAAATTAGTCTCTCCTTGTCCTCATCACTTCAAACTCGTCAATAAGAGAATTTAATGGAAAAATATCAACAATCTTCTTCTCTATATACACAAGTATGGTATTAGGTAAAAAATCATCTTCCACTCTATTACGCAACATTGTCTTAATGACACTCATAACTGAAAATGCACGTTCTATAGCTGCTGTTAAAATTGGAAGAGTTAGGACAAGAATTAATCTATCAATAAGATTATAACTCATTGATTTTCTTGTCAATGCCAACAGTTGGCACACATCTATTGGATCTGGGTTATTTATTTATTTAAGTAACTATTGGATCTTTTGTTTAGGTCTAAAATTTTTGTATGGTTAAATTTAAAAGTGTAAGTTATTGGATCAATATTTATTAATGAAAAAAAAATTTCAAAATTTTGCAGGGATGAATCAAAATTTTTGCGGGGACGAAATTGAAAAATACATTACAAATTAATTAGAAATAGTGGACCAGCGAATAATGTTGGGGTGGCGACCGCCCCCTGCCCCCCATCTCCGTCTCTGTTTGTATACAATATTTTCGCGATCGTGAGATTTTTTTATTTGAGCATTTTAATTTTTACATTTCTTGCAACTTGTTGAAAAGAAAATTATTAGTGATTACGTTCGAGCAATATTTGGTAAAATGGTAAATATGCATTCATTTGAGAAAATCAATATTCATTAATCTTGATTCTACTGTAAGGATCACCCTTACCTCATCCAGCCTCGTGATCGGTGGTTCTGTGTCCCATTTCTCCTTTTCCTATATTTCTTGTTTCTTTTTTATGCTTCGTAATAGTAGTCTAAACAAAAGATTTATTAATTAATTCCAACACATCAAGCCTTGTTTGGCAAGGATCAAAATCAAGTTTTTAGAAATTTTAATAAAAGTTGATGAGATATATAATTGAAAAGTTACGAGTCTCATAAAATATATGGTTAAAATCAATGGTTTACTTTAACTTAATAATTAAAAATTAGGGAAAAATATTCAAAAAAAAAAATTTATCTTTACTAGTACCCTTCACCTAGGGGTGGCAAAATGACCGATTAGCTCTTCAGTTCGACTCGTGAAAACTTGACCCATTGACGGTTCAGTCTCGTCTGAAACGAGCCCGAGCTTGAGCCAAACAGGCGGTTCCCTGCTCATCTCGTCGAGCTCGCGAACAGAAAGTTCACGAGCTCGTGGGCTTTTAAAAAATATGAAGAAAAAAGTAAAAAATTTAATAAAAAAAAAAAAACGAGTTTGTGGGCTCGGCTCATCAAAGTGGATAGATGGATCGAGCCGAGCACACCACAACCCTCACCAAAAAAGTAGACCAATAGAAATAATGTATAGTAATTTCAACAATTTGTACACCAAGTTTTACATTCCGCCACGTGTCAAACTATTATTTGTTGATAAAAAACAGTTTTTTTTCGA